CTGCTGTTCATCTCATCTCTGTTCATCTGTTCATCTCGGGGTTGGGCGGGGAAAGGGGAGCCAACGCTGTGTTCCTCCCCCACCAAACTGTTCCTGGGGCGGGGGGGAGTAAGCAGGCAAGTAGTGCCAGGGATAGCCTAGGTCTGGGTAGTTTGTGTAGCATTGTAAGAGGGGTTCTTCTTCCCCCGCATGGCCATGCAGTCCAAGTCACTCTCTACCCTGCTGTGAGCACAACATGACGGCTAGACTATGCCGCACTGCGAGGTTGGGGAACCACTGTGAGGCTTGAGGACCTCAGTCTGAGGGCATGTAACTCTGTCCCTCAGGTGGCTCTTGCTCATATGGAATAAGACGACTCCTGCCACCAGCTAACAGAGTTCCTCCTTTAACACAGGTTGTAGAAGCTTGTGCCTTTGGTCCTGAGTTCTGTTCCCAAACCTACTGGCGCTTGCAGCTGTACGCTCTTAGCGTGTGGTGCATACTGTTGGCAGCAGTGAGGAGCGGCCATGCTGGCCACCCTGCTCCTGCTCAGGTTTGGCCAGGCCGGCCCTCTGTCGTGACCAGGGGGAATAGCAGGGCCAAAGTTGAGTGAGTGGTGGTGCAATCTGGTTAAAGGAGGTGTCAGAGCTGCGCTGCTCAGGATTAACCCTGCGGCCTCTGTGCCCCAGGTCGCAACACCACTCGCTGACTGTACATGCCTCCCCCCCACCCCATCACAACAGACAGAGGGGCCGCGGGGCCAAACCACAGTGGGCGCACTGGGCAGTGGGGCAGCCAGCGCTGCTGCTCCTCGCCGCTGCTGTGGGTCTGGCTCCTGGGTCAGGGCTCTCCTTCTGGGGCCTGTGCAGCCTTGCACTACTTTCTGCAGCACGTGTGCCCTCTCAGGGATGGGGAGTGATGCTGCCCCAGGGCAGGCTGGGAGGGAAAGCAGGGGCTGAGGGTGATAGCGCCTCGCCTGCTGAGTCTGTGGGGCCAGCAGCTGCAGTGAGAGTGTCTCCACAAGGTTGAGGGTACGTACCATGGGAACAATTTCTTAGGGTGCCCTTGCCCACCCCACCATTCCGCTGAGCCTGGTGGACTGCTATGAAGTGGTTCTGCAGTGTCACTTGTATCCGAGAGATTGAATTCATAGATTTGAGGCGAGAAGGACCTGGCTTCAGATCATCTGGTCTGATCCCTGCACATCGTCAATTATTACAATAGGCTTTTCCTAGCTCCTCAGTAGTCTCGATAGCTCTGCTGTGATGCTAACTGAATTCCTGAAGTCTGTGGATCACCTCCTTTCTGATTCCTACCGTTCATAGGACTGTGCAGCAGGGAAATGTGAAGGGAGGGGAGTGCATCTAAACCTTTGACTTAATTATCCTTAACTAAGAAGGAGCAGTAAAGGACATGGATATAAGGATGGAATTAGGCAGAAGACATTTGTACCCTAGATCACTGGATTGTCCCTGCTGAAGGGAAAGGAGAGACATATTTGCACACCAGGCTTCTGTAATTTTAAACTTGTGCTTCGGTTCCTTCCAGTGACAGGGCTGTACAGTTCCTATGCCAGCCACTGGCCTGTGGATACGTATCAAGGGTGGTAAACGGAGTAGAGAGGTCAGCAACTTCATTAGCAGTTTGAACAGGAGATTTCACTCTGACATAATGGTGGCAGCTTTCCTCTTAATCCTTATGTTAGGCCCCGGGGGTTAATTATACACCAGCAAATCATAGCAGCGTGCTAACAATTCTGCAGCTGCAGCTGAGATGGCATTTCAGCGACGAGCCCCTGATCTCCTATTTCTTCCTAGTCCTCCCTCTGACACGTCCACTGTCATCCTGGGAAGGTATTTCCTGTGTGCCATTATCCTGATTTCCCACGTATCTGCAAGCTGAGCTAAATCCTGCACAACAGCCATTGTCTACCCAACGTGCCGTGCTTCCTATTGACACAGAAAGGGACTTCGCTTGCCATGGCGCTTTGATTTTTTTTCATGTCATTTATGCACAGGGTTTTGTGATCTACCATCTGTTGCTGGCTTAACCCATTTGGTTCCCTTGGAGCTCCTTCTTTCTTTTTAAAATTCAATTTAATTATCTTTAACCCCTTGTGCCAGGCTGCAGATGCTGTCCTCTGTGTACAGGAACATCCTGGGTGATGAGGAGGAATATCTCCATGGCCCAGCCACCTTTACGCCCAGCAGACGAGGATACCTGACTGGGGAGGAGATGGCTGGGCAGGAGCAGGGCCAGAGGAAGTGTGGAACTCATGACCGCAGGAGTTTTCTCATAGCAACATGGAGGGGAAGGATGGTCATGTGGTTAAGGCTTCCATAGAATATCAGGGTTGGAAGGGCCCTCAGGAGGTCATCTAGTCCAACCCCCTGCTCAAAGCAGGACCAATCCCCAGACAGATTTTTACCCCAGTTCCCAAATGGCCCTTTAAGGATTGAACTCACAACCCTGGGTTTAGCAAGCCAATGCTCAAACCACTAAGCTATCCCTGCTCCATGGGGGACAGGCTAGCCCAAATTCCACTTACTGTGGGTTTTGTTGCACCGTCCTCTGAAGCATGAAAGCATCTATTGCCGGCTATTGCGGGGGCTGGGGTGTTGGACTAGATGGGCCAGGGATCTGGTTGAGCCTGCTAGTTCTTGTAGGCTAGGCCTCAGGAGATCGGGGTTCAATTCATGGCTGTGCCACAGACTTTTTGAGGCAGGTCATTTAATCTCTGTGAGCCTTCGTTCCCCATGCATTAAATGGTGGTGATAATACTCCCGTTGGCAGTCTTGTCAGTTCAGTGGGGCAGGGGTTTTCTCTCGTTGTGTCTGTATACGGCATCCAGCATACTGGGGCCCTTCTCTCAGTTGGGCCCTCTACGTGCTACTGTACTGTAAATAACAATCACATTCAGATGCAATTGCAGTAAATGAGAGCACCTGTGGCATGTATCTGGGAACAGAACTCCTTCTGTATTATTGTGTTTGACTTTACTTCATTAATTTTCTAGTGTTCTGCCCTGCCATCTCTATACAGTCTATTTATTCCCCTGATGCTTGCTACCTAGTGCTAATTTGTCACTGGTATTTCTCATCGTTTTCTGCCCCTGGCTACGCATGTTGCATTGTCTTACCGCTCCTGTGACTTTCAGTGGAGCAGTGTTTGGATTTTTAAAAACGCCAGTGCTTCTGACCCTCTGGGGACATAAACGTCATGCCTCCAATCAAGGAATAAAAATATTCAGCGCCCCAGGCTGTGTCTCGCATAAATATATTTTAAAAGTCTGTGCTGCTTTTAAAAATGTTCCTCACTCTAAATACACAGCAGGTTCCGTAAAGATCCAAACCGCGACATACTCCAGCAGAATGTAAGTGCGCCACACATGCTATCAACACCCAATCCCCCGAAATGCATTCTCAGTCTTGTTAAGGCCCAGCTGTTGCAAATTCTTGTGCACGTGCTCAACTTAAAGCATGTGAGCGGCCCTTTTGACGTCACCCAAGCTACTCAGCGTGGTTAAAGTTAGGCAGGATCAGGGCCTTAATCACGCTCATGCACTCTTGATATTGTTTAGTTAGTTCATTATGATTTGTACTGGGCTAGCACCCAGGAAGCCCGGAGAAAGGATCAGGGATTCAGTATGCTACGCACAAGGACAGTCTTTGCCCCAGAGATGTTATGGTCTGAGAGGCAGCAGGTGGACAGGCAGGGGGGGAGGATGAGGTAACAGTGAAGAGTTTACCAGAAAAAAATGGAAGTCTCGGCACTATTGTTTATCTTGTGTTCATGTGGGTGCTTTCTTTCTCCGTCTTCCCCACCGCGCCACAATTCCAGGCATGCCCACTCATGCTTTCTCTCTCTACAGATCCCTGCACCAACCTGTCATTCGGTACGCATCCTTTCTTAACAGGGTGTGTTTTGAAAACAGAGCAGGGAGAAGTCTCACTATTTTATGTTGTTGTGGTAGCACCTGACAGCCCCAGTCGTGGGCCGGGATCTCTCTGTGCTAGGCGCTGTACAAACAGAACAAAGACATTCCCTGACCAGAAGAGCTTGCAATTTAAGTATAAGGGAATGTCTACACTTAAATTGCTACAGCAACAAGTGCAACTGTAGCACTTTAGTGTAGACACTACATATGCCGCAGGGAGGGGGTCTCCCATCAGTGTAGGTAATCTACCAGACCAAGAGGCGGTAGCTGGGTCAATGGAAGAATTCTTCCATTGACCTAGTACTGTCTACACTAGGGGGTTAGGTCAGAATATCTGCATCTCTCAGGGGTGCGGATTTTTTCATATCCCTGCGACACATAGCTATGCCAATGTAAGTTCCAGTTTAGACCAGCCCAGAGACAGTCAACAGGTGGATACAGGCTGGCAGACAGAAGAGCAGAAGGAAAATGAGATGACACTGGTGAGCATCATGGGCAGTGGTCTTAGCATCCCAGCTGTCTAACCATCGTTGGGCTTTTTGTTGTAGGCATCTTGGGAAAGGAGTTTTAAGGAGGATTTTAAGGCGGAAATGAGGTGGCTTTGTGGAGGGTTCTGGGGAGCTCCTCCCAAGCATGAGACACTGCATGGGAGAAAGCACAAAGGTGTTTGTTTGAAGTTTTAACAAGTGGGCATTGAAGGCTGGCATTGTTGGCTGATCAGAGGCAAGAATCAATGTTTCAGTAGCATGTGGGAAGTGTTAGGTAGCTTGGGATAGGCTGTGGAGGGCCTCGAAAATAAAGGCAAGTAGCTTGTGTTTGTTCAACTGATTCTTTAATTTGTTTGAATTATTTCCATTGGCCAGCTATTCAAATGGCTTTGCATTTTGTACTTCCCTCGGTAGTTTTCATATAGAATCATAGACATCTTGCACTGGAAGGGATCTCAAGAAGTCCACCCCCTAGCTGAGGCAGGATTAATGCACATGTGCTACTGACACATGCCACAACTTACCAAAGGCAAACAATGAAGATTTGCGGTGGGCATTGTATACTGACTCATATCTTTCCCTTCTTCCACCGTTAGGAGCATCAGATGCCTGCGAAATATTATCCACTGGAACCTGATCACCACGTTCATTCTGCGGAATGTGTTGTGGTTCCTGCTTCAGATGATTGATCATAACATACATGAAAGCAATGAGGTATGTGATGTGGCTACGGTATCCACTTGTCATGGGCACACTGAATTATTTATTTAGATGTATAAAAATACTACAAAGGGTAGCATCCATGTGCTCTCTGCACCCTTAAAATAACTTTAAAAAGTTTGAGTGCATAAACAATATGTGTTGATCAGATAAATATTCATATCTTTTCACTGTTGGTTTCCTTGCGTATTCAGTAACTTCATATAGTGCATTATGGTCTAAGGGAATGTAATACAATCTAGTGCATTGAAAACAGATTACGGAGAGCAGTATACCCTGTCCATCTGTCTATCCCATTATATAGAAGCATTGATGCCTCTAATGAGTAAAGTGGTTTTATATTTACTCCTGTGTCTTTAGCAAATTATCTGATACTCTGGCTCATGCAAAAATCTGCATTAAATTCAAGTATCAGGGGGTAGCTGTGTTAGTCTGTATCCACAAAAACAATGAGGAGGCCAGTGGCACTTTAAAGATTAACAGATTTATTTGGGCATAAACTTTCGTGGGTAAAAAAACCACTTCTTCACATGCCCCCACATCTGAAGAAGTAGGTTTTTTACCCACGAAAGCTTATGCCCAAATAAATCTGTTAGTCTTTAAGGTGCCACCGGACTCCTTGTTGCATTAAATTCAGACATTGTCATGTCAGTAAGTGATGTGACATTTATCAACTTGGTCATTCGGGGCCTGATTCACCTCTCATGACTGACTTTGAGAAGGACTTTACCCATTGGAATCACTGGGATGATTGCAGAGTTAGGAGTCATTCAGCATGAACAAGAGTAGGAGTATTGGGCCCTTGAATAATAATAATAATACATAGCTCTTTTATGGGGATGTTCATCAATACATCTCAAAGTGCTTTATAAAGGAGGTCAGTATCATTCTCCCCAGGTTACAGTAAGGCTTGGAATACTGGAAAAGTTCCAGAAGCCTGGAAGAAAGATAATGTCGCCAATATTTAAAAAGAGTAAACAGGGTGACCCAGAGAATTATAGGCTGGGCAGTCTGATGGTGATCCTGGGCAAGATAATGGAGCAGCTGATTTGGGACTTGATTAATATAGAATGAAAGGAGGGCAATATTATTGATGCCAGCCAACATATTTTTGATGAGACTACAAGTTTAGTTGATAAAGGTAACAGTGTTGGTGTAATATACTTAGACTGCTGTAAGGCATTTGACTGGATACTTCTGACAGTTTGATTAAAAAAACTAGAAAGATAAAATTAACATGGCATACATTAAATGGATTAAAAACTAACTAAATGATAGGCCTCAGAACGTAATTGTAAATGGGGAATCATCATCAAACAGATGTATTTCTAGTGAGGTTCCGCAGGGGTCAGTTCTTGGCTCTATGCCATTTAAAATTTTTATGAATGATTTGGAAGAAAACATAACAGAAAGTTTGCAGATGACATAAAAATTGGGGGAAGTGGTAAATAACGAAGAGGACTGGTCACTTCTAGAGAGTGATCTGGATCACTTGATCAGCTGGGCACAAGCAAACAATGTGTTTTAATATGGGTGAATATACACATCTCGGAAGAAAGAATGTAGGCCATACTTACAGGATGAGGGACTCTATCTTGGGAAGCAGTGACAATGAAAAAGTTCTGGGGGTCGTGGTGGATAATCAGCTGAACATGAGCTCCCAGTGTGATGCTGTGGCCAAAAGGGCAAATGCAGTCCTTGGATTCATAAAGAGGGGGATATCGAGAGGGAGTAGAGAGGTTATTTTACCTCTGTATTTGGTACTGGTGGGACCACTGCTGGAATCCTGTGTGCAGTTTTAGGTCCACAAAGCAAGAAGGATGTTGATAAATTGGAGACGGTTCAAAGAAGAGACACACAAATAATTAAAGGATTAGAAAACATGCCTTTATAGTAACAAACCCAGTCTAGGTCTACACTACGGGGGGGTGTCGACCTAAGATATGCAACTTCAGCTACGCGAATAATGTAGCTGAAGTTGCGTATTTTAGGTCGACTTACCTGACTGTGAGGACAGCGGCGAGTCGACCGCTGTTGCTCCCCCGCCGACTGCGCTTCCGCCTCTCGCTGCAGTGGAGTTCCGGAGTCGACGGCAGAGCGATCGGGGATCGATTTTATCACGTCTACACTAGACGCGATAAATCGATCCCCGATAGATCGATCGCTACCCGCCAATCCGGCAGGTAGTGAAGACGTGCCCTCAAACACTTCAATCTATTTAATTTAACAAAGAGGGTTAAAGGGTGAGTTGATTACAGTCTATAAGTCCAACATGGGGAACAAATATTTAATAATAAGCTCTCCAATCTAGCAGAGAAAGGTATCATACAATCCAATGGCTGGAAGTTAAAGTGAGACAAATTGGAACTAAGATGTACATTTTTAATGATGAGAGTAATTAACCATTGGAACAACTCACAAACAATTGTGCTGGATTCTCCATCACAGACCATTTTTAAATCAAGATTGGATGTTTTTCTAAAAGATCTGCTCTAGGAATTATTTTGGGGCCGTTCTCTGAGCTGTATTAGACAGGAGGTCAGACTCGGTAATCACCATGGTCCCTTCTGGCCTTGGAATCTGAGTTTTGACTTCATGGGAGTAGAATTAGTCCAATGCTGAGTGATTTAAAAACAACAACAAATCATCCAGGGTTTAAAATGCACTTGTATATTTTTGTTCCAGCCCTGGTGTCGGTGTATTACAACGATCTACAATTATTTTGTGGTGACCAACTTCTTCTGGATGTTTGTGGAAGGCTGCTATTTGCACACTGCAATAGTGATGACTTACTCCACAGATAAGCTGAGGAAATGGGTCTTCCTCTTCATAGGATGGTGTAAGTGCCGTGTGCTTTAAAACTCCTGTACTTTAGGACAGTCAGTGTTAACGAAGCGATATAACCAAGATTGACAGAAAAGAAATCCCGGAGAAGTGATATTTTTGTCATTCAAATCTCACCCCATTTAACAAAGGCAAATATCAGAGCAGGTTGAGTTAAATGTTGATATTTAAATATACTTTAATGACACAGCTCAATGCGGGCCAATGAGTGAAAGGTTATGGCTGAGGTCTGCGTCTTTCACTCGAATCATTGTGATTTTATTCCCAACCATGGCTGGGGTTAAGGCAGGAGCATCAGGTGCTGTGTGCATGACTCAGCAGTTTCAGGGGGCAGCAGTTCACAGTGGTGTTGCTTCCGGTTGATCAACCGTCCCTAAATTGTCTGTATTTGTTTAACACCACAGTGCGCTCAGAATAGCGGGAAACAGGAGACATTGTCCCTGGCCTTACAGGCCCTTACAGCCTTAAAACAGACAAAACAAATCAGACACAAGGAAAAACACTTCGGCATGGAGTTAATTGGGCCGCTTTCCATGCAGGAACAATGTTGCAGCTGCATTTGAGGTCACTAGGGGCTAGATTGTCTTCCTAAAACACAGCCTTTAATAAAGGGTGGTATGTGCCTGTGCAACCCCAGGAGAGGCATGGGGAAGGAAATGTGGCTCCTAGCTTGTTCCCAGGAATTAGTAATCTATGGGTGTTCTAATTAAATTACACCCCCAGCTCAGCTCTGCTGGCCGGAGCATGAAGTGGCCTGGCCACTGCCAATCCTCCTACCCCCGCCCCCCCCACCGCTGAGCAAGCAGTGCCCTGACCCCTTTGTGGCTGCATCACAGGTCCTAGTAGCTTGCCTGGTCCGTGACTCTAGTCCTGAGACATCTAGGTCTCTGATTGAGCACACCCTTCCTCTCACCCTTTTAGATCCTTTCCTGTGCCTGTCACTCTGCCCTACTTTCTGCTTCGCCTCTGGCAAATCTCACGTCCAGTTCTCTGATCTCCACTGAGGCTTTGGCCAGGAATAGCCAAAGGTCCTTATCCAGCAGCAGGGGCATGGACACTTCCATCCCATCCCATCCCCGTGAGAACGGAAAGCACGATGTCTTCTTGAGTCATTGAACAAGGAGAAAGAACACGGAAGAAGTGGGCTGTAGCCCACGAAAGCTTATGCTCTAATAAATTTGTTAGTCTCTAAGGTGCCACAAGTACTCCTGTTCTTTTTGCGGATACAGACTAACACGGCTGCTACTCTGAACAAGGAGAATGTGTCTTCTCAGGAGGGCAGGGCAGATCCCCAGAGTCACAGCCCAAAGCATACTTGATCTTTACGTGTGCACCTTAACCCTATCCCTGCTGGCCTCCGCTGCAGAGGCTACGCCATGATGTCTCTCTACATTGGCCATAGTCTACTGAAACGTCCGCATTTTGAAGGTCAATGCGCAGCTATAGACCTCAGTTCAGCAAAGCTTATGTACCCGAATCCCATTGACTTCAATGGGAATTAAGGCCATGCTTCGCCTTGGAAAGGCTGACCTGCAATGCAGTGCAATGCTGACCTGGTAGCCAGCACACTGGGTGGCCCTGGAGATGCCTTTTGGCCTGATTTACCAGGGATGTTTGACAGCACTGAGAGAGGCCCATTTGAAAGCAGTGTTCAAATCGGGCTGGAAAACTCTCCTGCTTCTACTCTCCCTTACACGGGTGTGACTCCAGAGTTCACTCCCCGAAATCTCAGGGGGCACGGACACATGAGGCGGGTGTGAGTGAGAGGAGAGTTCGTCTCAGCATGACATTACTGTGTTCCAGCCATGTTACCGGGCTGGGTTCTCAGTTGCTCCCACTAAGTTCAGCTGAGGATAAGAAGGGTCACAAACCAGCTGCTTGCTCCTCTGATATTGCAGCTGTTTTTGTCCCCTCCCTGTCCTGCATAGGTCAGAGGAGCTGCAGAGCTGCTGTAAACTGTGCCAGCTCCTCCAAGAATCTTTCCTGGAAGCAAGGGGTCACTGGAGCACCCGATGCTTCAGCTACGTTCCCTTTTCCCTGGGAACTTGCCTAGGGAGGGGAACGGTACAGAGCTGACTACACTGACTCTACACCCCCTTGAGATTCCCTCTTTGTGATGGGAATTCTCCACCAGCCAGCTACTCATCAGCTTCGTGCCAAGGGACTGGCACAAAATAAACATTATAAGGGCAAGGATCTGGCCCACTGCGTCTGGGCACAAAGTACAAGATAAAGCAGTAGGAGTGAAAGCAGAGGCAACAGCCTGGCAGGGACAGGAAGCTTACAGATATACCCAGACACATGCAAGGAGATTAAATTCCCAGTGAGCAATGGTGCATCTGCCTTAATGCATTCCAGGTTAGTGGGAGAAAGACATGCAAAGCAAACACACGGCTTAATGGGATTTCAGAATCATTTATTTAAAAAAAGCCACTGACAGGACACATGGTGTGTTGGAGGTCATGGAACACACCAGTGGAGCTGGGAGAAATTACATTCTTCAGAGACTGCCAGAATAACATCTGAACTAGGCAAGAGCTAAACCTTGAGAGAATTCCTCCACGTTGCCCTCTACCTTGGGATGGTTAATTTCAGAGCTTCCCACCCAATCCATATGGTGCAGCAGAACCATAAGGAGGTTGCAGCCTGGTAATACAACTCAGATAATAAAACCCCCAGAAAGCTCAACCTGCCTTTAAGATATCGCGCGGAACGAAGAAAACATTTTATGATTCGTCCAGAACCTCCTGCTGTTTCTTAAGTAGCTTTTCAATTTTTCTGTAATTGTTGTAATAATCTGCCTCTTATAGAACAATGGCACTAAAACTGTGAAAAGCTCTCGTCTTGCTAGGACTTCTGTTCCTTTTACATAAAACTAGTTAGCAGATACATGAGGTCTATAGCCCATGGCCAAAGGCAGGTATCCACGTTATTCCTTATACTCCCCGCCCCCAACACACACACACTGACTGACAGTGTTCTGTATGTGTGTGTGGATTGTGACTTACCCTTGATCTTTTTTTTTTTTTTAGGTATTCCTTGTCCAATCATTGTTGCCTGGGCCATTGGCAAGCTCTATTATGAAAATGAACAGTAAGTAATGTTAACGATTTTATTTACATAAACAAGTTACCAGACAGCATAAACATATCCAGTGCCGGAAGCAATTATGCTAAAAGTTACATAGACTGTGGAGATGAAAACTAACAGATGTGGCTGTCTCATTCCCATTGATCTTCAGGATCGACAACTTCAAAAAGTTCTGAGCTCAGCTTGAGTGAACACCCCGAAGTTAAAAGGCTTATCTAAAATTCCTGGGCCAAATCCCGAAATCCTTCCTGAATAGCTTTTATTCAGGTAAAACTCCTTCAGTGGGACTGAGTTAAAACTACTGAGTTAAGGATTTGGCCTTTTGAGATCACAGAACTAGGCTGTAAAAAGAACAGGAGTACTTGTGGCATCTTAGGCTTGGTCTACACTAAACCCCCAAATCAAACTAAGGTACGCAACTTCAGCTACGTGAATAACGTAGCTGAAGTTCGAAGTACCTTAGTTCGAACTTACCTCGGTCCACACGCGGCAGGCAGGCTCCCCCGTCGACTCCGCGGTACTCCTCTTGTCTAGCTGGAGTACCGCAGTCGACGGCGAGCACTTCCTGGTTCGACTTATCGCGTCCAGACAAGACGCGATAAGTCGAACCCAGAACTTCGATTGCCAGCCGCCGAACTAGCGGCTGGGTGTAGACATACCCTTAGAGCCTAACAAATTTATTTGAGCATAAGCTTTCGTGGGCTACAGCCCACTTCATCAGATGCATGTAGGTTGTAAAGGTTCCAAGACCAGTCTTCATGGTATTGCAGCTTAATCATATTAAACAAAGGACCCACATACTGGCTTTGATCCCGCGCAGCGCTGGTGTTATACATATAAGGACAAGGTAAAATGTGACGGGCAGGGTGGGAAGCACAAGGGAATCTGATTTTACATTGAGAGCAATTGTACAGAGCCCAGTTATCCCTGCCTAGTAGCAGGAATAATTCTGCTGCATTAACAAATAGGAATCACGCTTAAGCTCCATATCCTCACAGATGCACCCATTCCCTGTCCATGCTCCATTCCTTTTTGCCCCGTATGCTAGCAAATAAGGCAGTGGCCACACAATGGGGTTGCATTAGTATCACTCGGTATGAAGGATGATGCCTAGTGCTTAGTCTTTCTTGCCCTCCGATATAGCTAGCTTCCATTCACATTTGCACTGGCGTACAATAACCTTGCACAACCTGCAATGCCCCATGAACAGACTTTTGAGATCAATGCCATGACTTCAAATGATTTTATATTGGGCAAGACCACAAAGCATCCAGTCATCCGCCCACCCGACTAGTATCCGGAAATGCTTATGAGCTGGAGCATGAAACATTCTGTAATGTCAGGCACCCATCAGAGAGGCCGAGGATACATGTACTTCTGCACTCTATCAGAGACTGAGATATCAGGTGCTGGTCTCCAGAAGATCTTACCCATACAATCATGCAGATACAATAAAGCTCATATAAATGAATAGCTGATAAGGGAATAAAGCTGTTCTGTTCTTCACATTTATATTAATGGTATACACAGGGTAAGACTTAGCATACCTTAATGAACTAAAACAAAAGCAAGAGATGAATTGTTTGCCAGTGCTTTGCTGATTGCTATAAATATGCACACATTTTCTACGACATTACGTTTGTTTAATCAGGTGGTATAGCTAATAACTCCTACTAAACAGAAAAATTAAAGCACAGATCAAAACGTTTTTTAATCAAAAGTCTACTTAACTCGAACGCCTTCTGGATGAGTCAGCCCAGATGTTCAGACTACATTCTGTTCGTGACGGCTCCAGAAGTCTTTCCATGTGCCGAAAAGATACAGAAATAATGGCTGAAATGTGAAATACATAAATCTGTGCCAATGTAAGGCTAAGAGTAAAACTTGCTCCTTTGTTTTTGAGAAATTGAGTGGAATCAGCTCTGCCAAGCCAGGCTGACTCTTATGATCACGTGGGATGCGCTCAGCCTATTCAGACATGGAGAAACAACATGTGACTTCTCCCATGTGATTTAACCTAACAAACCAAATTCAGATGTGAAATACAGAACAAACAGCAACCTCCAAAAATATTCAGATAAACCGGGGGGGGGAGAGGGGGGGACAGAAAGGAGGGGGGGGAATCTCCAAAAGTTCCTATGGACTGTTCAAAGTCAAGGACAAAATGTGACCATATTGCTCTTAGTTTGGGGAAGGAATTTGAAATATAACCAAGGCGGATTGGAAGTACTTTTGTGGTTCAAGCTGTGTAGCTCTAAAGATAATAAAATCAATAAGATTGCAGCCACAAGGAAGAATAGATATGCTTAAATAATGAATGATTCCCTGAAACCAAATGAAAAGCTCCTGATTTCACCTGCCTTAGAGCCTTTGATCAATATAGGGGAAAATCTAATTTAGGATTATTGAGAACATCTTGTCCAGTGATTAACTCTGTGGTAGAATCTGGCTACCCTCCAGAAGAGAAGTACTATAGGCACCATGTAAAAACAACCAACAAGTGATGAAGAGCGACTTCCATAGCAATTTCAGTGATGGACAATCTGTAAGGATAAGAGCAGTAATAAAAGTCTCATTAACAATGATGAAAGGACAGTGATATTTGAGTTATGTAAAGTCCTATCAGGGAAGCATGGGGGAATATTAATTAGCATTATTCAGTGTGCAGGTGTTCCTATTTCTTTCATCCTAACGAGATCTACTCAATGGCTTGTCCTCCCTGACATTGAAAAAGCTTTTGTTTTGTTCTTGGAGGAGGGTGGAAGGAGGCAGGGAATGGGTGGAATGCATATGTTGTTATAGCAGTTTTTTCATGGCTCTCCACTACAGATATAATTGTCCTACCCACCCTATCGAAAAACCCAAATAAACAAAATAATAACTTCCCTGGGATTAGGAGGTGGAAGTCCCAGGGGGGTTGGTTGTTTGTTGTACAAAAAAAAAAAAAAAAAAAAAGCTGTGTGGCTTTCATTTCAGGATTGGGGCCTTAGTTTGGATTTAAAGGTGAAAATTAATGTAGGTAAAGGGAGAAAGTCTAGGTCACTGAATTATATCAGTTGCATTGATATATGCCACCTGATATCTACTTAATTATAAATTCTTTGGGGCAGAGATTGTCTTTTTGTTCTGTATTTTCACAGCATCTATCACGGAGGGGTCCTGGTCCACGACTGGGGCTCCTAGATACTACCTCGGTGTAGATAATGCTTTTATTCTATGAAATATGAATTCTACACTAGAATGGATGTATTGGTTCCAAAGAACTGGACCAGTTGCACTGGCAGTAACTTCTTCCCCAAAAATCTCAGGGCATTAGCTGCTGGCTCTCCACAGGCTACTCCTTGGTCTTTGAGTTCCTTCATATGCCTCAGTCAAACTCATTATTAGTCCCACTGGGATTCCTTGACTAGCACAGCCTGCTTTCCAGAAGGTCCTTTCCTGAAGGTCTCAGACAGTTCAGTTCTTTTTCCTTGGTAGCTTCCCCAAACTCCTCCAGTGTCCTGGCAGCTTCACTGAAACTCTTGTTTCCTTTCCTTGATACATCCCACAAGACCCTTCTCTGTCCACACACTGCTCCAGCAAGTCATTCTTTTTCTCTTCCATGTCATTTTTTGAGGGGAGTGTGGGGGGGTCTCACTTCCAGTTGGATAATAATTTGGGCAGCAAGAAACAGCTCTTTCCAAATGCTTCTCTCAGTGTCAAATTTTGGAAATGTTTTTGCAAATAGTTATCAGGTTGCACAAAGCTATATTGTGTGCAACCAGGAATAACATTTGAATAACTTATCAGACACCTTAGTGCAAATGATTCAAAATGATCTCATTCAATCTGATTTTACTGTGGATATCAAGCTGAGAAAAGGCCTGAATTCTGGCGTTTGAGAACTATCGCACCTGTTACATTTTTGTAATGTTTCTCTACTAAGAAAATGTTCTTCTCGATGTGTGCCATGAATGCTGTGCCATCGAGAAATATATTCTCTTAGTCTAGGAGTCATTAGCAGGCCACCCCCATATTAGAGAAGATTTTTTTTTGCCACTGCAGTTCTTAAAGTAATTCTGCTTGAATCATGCTTTCCTTCAAACCAGCTCATTTGTCTCATTTGCCTGTTATTTCTTTCTTGTCTCCTAGACTATGAGCTCCTCAGGGTAGAATCATAGAACCATAGGGTTAGAAGGGACCACAAGGGTCATCTAGTCTACCGCCCTGCCAACGATGCAGGGTAGAGATTGTTATTTACTATATGACTGTTTTGTACTATATGATTGGGGCCCCAACCTGTATCTGTCTCTGTCATCTAGATTGTAAACTCCTTGGGGGCTGGGAATGTCTTTATTTTTATGTCTTGGCTTTCTAAGCATTGTCTGTGCTTTACACATAATCAGATGTTGCAATGTACCATGGCCATAAACCAACTGACAACGTGGCCGTCTATGAAATCACCGTAGCAAATGGGAATAGAAGTTATAACTCTGAACTCCAAAAAGAACACATCACTTGACTTGGGTTACAAACTCCCATGACCCATGTAGAAGACCTTAAAGGGCTTGTGACATATTGAGGTCAGGGTTCAAGATGTCATACCCTCTTGTATGTTAGACACTGGAAACAGGAACTGGGCTACTTGGATTCCATCCACTAAAAGGTATACACAAAAGCCAGTATATGGCAGTATGAAAGTACAGGTTTAGTTTGCCATGTATCAGAGAAAGGAATTAGTTGTTCATCATTAACATAGGATTGGAAGTGAGCTCCTGGGTCATTGACACCAGTCCCTTGATATCTAAGGCAATCCTGTCACATAATCATATAACAGAAATGAAGACAAAGTAAACCCTTTGCAACGACTCTGCAGTACATGACTCTGGTTTATTGACCTTCCGTTAACTCCCGTTGCCTTTTAACTGAAGTTCAGTGAATTTCCCTGGAATTATATTGGATGAGAATGCTTGTCAGACCAGCTAGCTTTAAATGGGTATGTCTTTGTTGCACTCTGGGGTTGGAAACTTTGCCTGTTCAAGGCCCATGGGTTGGATTCCCTGTTAACCCACAACCAGGGTTTGGAAAAGTCTTCCTGTGGATTTAGAGGCCTTTGCATAAACAGACTTTCCTTGAATCATTTGTGAGCACTGAATTAGAAAGCTCAGGGGGCAGGAGGTTTCATTCAAAGGAAGAGCCCTCTTTCTGACATAGCGGGTTACAATTTGCAGCATAAGTTCCGCATCTGCAGTGAGGATGCTCACATCCTCCTTTATAGCTGATCTCAAAACATTCTCATGTTTCCAGGCAAATGTTTCTAGGGTTGGCAGCCAGAAACTGAGCGGGAACATGCCTTGGCTGCCCTCAGCAAAAACGGGGGCTCGGATTTGTGTCCAGTGAAAGCTTTGAGAGGAGAAAAGTGGCGCAGTTGCATGTTGGCTATGTAATTAAACACACAAGCATTTCAGGGGTATAAGTGCAGATCTCCCTAAGGGGTACATAATCTGAATATGGGATATGCATGAACGTTTGTAAGCCATAGTTTTTCTCTTACAGATGCTGGTTTGGAAAGGAACCAGGGAAGTACATAGACTACATATATCAAGGCCCAGTGATTCTCGTTCTTCTGGTAAGACCATGCGTGGGACTAAGAGGCAATAGTGAAATGATCTTATAGGCACCTGCTGTCTTCCAGGTGTAATTAACTAAAACAAAACAACCGGTGAACAAAACCTGGGGAAATGATCTGAGGGTTTCAGAAGAGAGCTCTGAAGGCAGGTGCGTTAGGTAACGTGCTGTGTGAGCTGGCACCTGACTGGTTAATGAAGAGCCCAGTGTAGTGTTAACAGGCTAACTTGTTGCTGTCTTACAGCGCTTCCTACCTGCAGACCTTTAGCTGCTGCTAGCCTTGGTTTACGCAGCAGCTGGTGCAAACAGGGTTGAGTCCTGCCTGACAAACATAGAACAATCTCTCTTCCCCTCCTCCACATATGCATGGGGCTAGGTGGCACTGGATGGGAAGGGGGCACAGCCAGGATAACAGTGATGTGCAGTTTCATCACATCCCAGCTACACCTCCTGGGGTGGGGATTCCGCGGAGCCCTCGATGGCCTGGGACAGAATTCCGCTTTCTGCACAGGGAGCCTGGATGGTTCCAAGAGATGCAGCTGGCACCTGCCTGTGCCAATGAGGATGAATCTAGCCCCTCGTTTGTGTCCATCAGTTAATTACTGAGTTCTTGCATCTTCAAGCTGGTGGCAGTCGTGTCTGTAATGAACCTATCCCCCTGGGAGCTGGAATAAGCACTTAGAACGATATCACTGGTCACGTGTGGGAGCCGTGTGCTGCTTAAGCCACACTGCAGTGTAGGTGATGACGCTCAGTATATTGCTGTTAAGATTGGAGGGTATGTCTGCGCTCCAGTCATAGGTGTGATTGCAGCTCGGTTAGACGTACCTGAGCTAGCTTTGATCTAGCTAGTTCAGATACCAATAGCAGTGAAGACGCAGCAGGCTGTTTCAGCATGGGTTAGCTGCCAGAGTAACTATCCCGGGTTCCAAGCAGGCTTGTACAGCCAATGCTAAACTTCATGCTGCCATGGCTTCACTGCTGCCTGTACCTGAACTAGCTAGGTTTAAGCTCACTTGACCTGCAGTCACCCTCCTTACTTCCTTGATTACAGTGTGGACGTTCCATGAGGGGCAAAGAATATCAGAAATTCTCTCCAGTATTCTCTGGGCACCCATCAACAAGTTTTTATACTAAATAAAGTATCAATTAATCTCCCTGAAACGACGTCCTCTAATTCAGCTGGCTGTCCATGTCCTTATCAGGTTTCCTCATATTATTTATACAAACAGTGTACACATTATATTTCCCACTTAGTTGTAACTGCGGTATCAACACACTTCAGACACATTGGGCCGGAGTTTCTAAAGAGCGCATCTTTAGAGCTGCTCCGAAATTTTTAGTTTAAATAACCAAAAATGCTGGTTTTGGTGAAATCGAAACTTTCAAAATTGTGACCATTTAGACAACATTTTCTTTTAAAAAAACTGAAATGAAACACGTCAATAATGTGAAAAGCATCCAATTTCAGTGTTTTCAGAATGGACCTTTTCCATTTTTTGTTTTGAAACAAAATTCGTTGTTTTTATATAAAAAGTCAAGTTTTGTTAAAAAGTCAAAATAAAGAACTAAATGTTTTAGTTTTATTTAAAAAAATGTTTGGGTTGACACCAAAGTAAGTTTTTCAGAATTTTGTCATGTGGGAAATAATGAAACTTTTGGTTTTGTTCCATCCTGGGATGGGAAAAAAAGTCAAAATTGCAGCATTTCCTGTGACAATCCAGTTCCTGCCAAGGTCTCTCAGCTCCCATTGGGACACTGAAAAAAAGTAGCTAAGTTCTTTTGGGAAATGGCCTTTTTTTAAAAACAAAGTTCTCCCTCCCCCTCCATGCTGTTGACATTTTTGATTTCTCATGACTTTTTTGTGTGTTTTAATAGAAGTGTTTATCAACATTTGTACTTACCAAAACTCTGGTTTTTGTTAAATGGAAAATGTGCACACTTAGCAGAAGTTGCTGCAAGTGCTCAGTGCCCGGGAGTTCTCACTGCAATACTTGTGGCCATATTTTCCCATCCAATATACCAAGCTCTTCTGAAAATCTGGCCATAGATGTCACAATGGGAGCTGCTAGCTGACTAGCAGTTTTCAGAACTTTTTCCAAATGTTCACATTTTTCCTTTACTGGAAAACAGCTTTTTGGTTAATGAACAAGTTTGATTAAAAATTTCTATTGGAAAAATAACACCCAAAATCACAAAAACTTGACAGACTTCCATACAGTAGAGCCCCCATTTCATGAACTGATAGAGGAGTTCAATTTTATGAATTTCTCAGTGTTATGAACATCTCAAAATCACGGTAGATGCGGCGCTTAAGTTGCTGTATGGTGCACTGCGTTGCTTTCTTCTTGTCCTTCAGATCAGTGCAAAGCAATTTCCAATGCATGGAAGGCATCGGAATATGAAGGGATGTCAATTTGTTGTTCATTGACCTCACTTTCACTATGTGATATTTATTTTTACTATTTTTTCATTCATAAGACGGGTGTTCGTAACATCGCGCTTCTCCTGTAATGTCACTTTTTTTTGCAAATTATTTCCATTTAGAGAAAAGTTGATTTTCCAACAACAACAACAAGTGTTTTGTTAACCTTCTCTAATTAGTATCTTTCTGGCAATGCAGAATAAGCTAATGTGTCTTTGTAGCTGATGCATGCTACTGGACAAAGTGTCTTAAACTGGGACCCTGCAAACAAATGAGACTGATACCTTTTATTATCTTTACTTTTACAGCATTTGTAAATGCTCAGATGGTCATGATCCTGCAGCTGACTTTGTGCAGATGCACATCTTGGCCTGTGCAGAGCCCCTCTGAAGTTTGTCCACATATAGTCAATTGTAGGATCAACGCCTTGGGCTTGTGACAATTAGAAGATTCACACCTCTTGTCTCCATCCTCTATATAAAATATACTTACTTGCCATTCATAAAGCACTCTGAGATCTTCTGATGAAAGCAACTACAGAAGTGCAATCTATTTTGTTGCTGTTGCGTATGTTTTGTTTAATAGCCTTTGGCAAGTACAAAGTGGATAATTATAAAATGGCAGACACGTAATAGGAAGTTTAAAATTGAGTTTTCAGCTGGTAATTAAGCAATTAAATCATTAGTTATTCCACTGCATTTGCAGGCATCTACTCAAGTGATGACTAAAGCTCACAAGTGTTGTGTTTTTTGTTTGTTTGTTTTTAGATAAGGGAGTGCAGTAGATCTCATATACTTGGACTTCAATTAAGCATCTGACACAGTAGCACATGGGACGTTATTAGTTAAATTAGGGAAGATGGGGGTCAGTACAAGAACTGTAAGGTGGATAAGGAGCTGGCTAAAGGGAAGATGGCAACGGGTTGTGCTGAAAGGTGAATGGTTGGACTGGAGGGAGGTTATTAGTGAAGTTGAAGGATCAGTCTTGAGACCAATGTTGTTCAATATTTTTATTAACAACCTTGGCACAAAAAGTAGGAGTATTGCTGATGATACCATGGTGGGAAGTATCATCAATACAGAGGAAGATAGGAATGTTCTACAGGAAGATCTGGATGGCCTTGAAGATTGAAGTGACAGAAACTGGATGAAATTCAGTAGCCCGAAGTCCAAAGTCATGCATTTAGGGTTTAATAATAAAAATTTCTGCTACAAGGTGGAGGCTTATTGGTTGAAAGTCACAGAGGAGGAAACAGACCTGGGTGTGTGGACTGATCACAAGATGACTATGAGCCACTAATGTAGTGTGGCTGTGAAAAAGGCAAATGCAATCCTAGAATGTATCAGGCAAGAAGAGAGAGAGAAGTATTAATGCCATTGTACACTGCACTGGTAAGACCTCATTTGGAATGTTGTGTAACATTCTGGTCACCCATGTTCAAGAAAGATGAATTCACAGTGGAAAAGGTTCAGAGAAGAACTACTAGGATGACCAGAGGAATGGAGGGCCTATTTTATGAGAGGAGACTGGAAGAGCTTGGCTTGTTTAGTGGGGGTGAAGAGCTAGTTAAGTTAAAAGACAATATTGGCACAAAAACAAATGCGACAAACTGGCCATGAACAAATTCAGGCTGGAAATTGGAAGGTTTCTAACCAGCAGAGGAGTGAGGTTCTGGAACAGCCTTCCGAATAGGAGTTGTGGGGGGCAAACAACTTAATTAATTTTGAGAGAGCTGGACAAATTCATGGGTGCGATTGTATGACAGGGTTGCTTGTGGTGGTAGGGGGAGGGCTCAACAACCCTGTGATTCTTTTAAGGTTTGTCTTATGTTCCTAAAAGCTCATGCTTCAAGATTTCAGCTGGCCACCTGCAGGGGTCAGGGGATTTCCCTCTCCCCCCACATGTATTCTTTTTCTTGTTTTGTTTTGAATCTCCTTCCTCTGAAGCATGGGAGATGGCCACAGCTGGAGATGAGACACTGGGTGAGGTAGGCTGGAGCTCTGAGATGGTACTTCGCTGGCTGGTTCTTGCTCACATGCTTAGGGTCTAACTGATCACCATATGTGGGGTCAGGAAGGAATTTTCTCCCAGGTCAGACTGACAGTGACCCTGGGGTTGGTTGGTTGATTTGTTTTTGTGCCTTCCTCTGCAGTATGTGGGTCACTTGCCAGGATTATCTGGGTATAGCTCACTTAATTATTTCCCTGCTATTGCAGTGGCCTTGGGCACTGGTGCACCTCCGTCCCTCCTATTCCCTGCCTGTGGCACATAATAGTCTAGTCTCCTGTGGGCTGTGATACTTTGGTCTAATTTAGGTTGGTGGGTTTAGTGTGCAGATGTGGGTGGTGGTGGTGGCCTGTGACATACAGGAGGTCAGACTAAACTATCTGGTGGTTCCTTCTGGCCTTACACTCTGGCTCAGTCTTAATTGAGTACAAACCTCTCCAACTCCATGGATTTTTATACCATCTCCCTGGTGCTTTTTGGTGCAATTATATGCTTGATATAAAAACAAATCAGTAAGTGTTTGGGAGGCAGGGTGGTCGTGTGGATAGCACACTGCTCTGGGAGTCTGG